TTGCATAAGTTTTTTTTTTGGTTCTTTTGATTTCAGCGATACACATCTCCCAAAGTTATACTTTCCCGGTGCGCAGTGTGAGGTATTTACTAATTACTGTGTTCTTAATATTATTGTGCGTTTTGTGCTGTGTAACAGCGTTACAAGACGCATATTGTCATGGGGTTGTCTGTGTGTGTGTCCCATATTCTGTCCTGCACTTTCAACTCGGGAACCACAAAAGCTAGGCGGCTGAAATTTTGCTATAGTGTTCCCCGCCAATAGGTGACGCGGCAGATTTAAATTCTGCCTCCCCGTACCCGCGGGTAACTCGTACGGCCTCGTGGAAGTTTTTTACGGGCAAATCAATATCTCAGGAACCAAGGAGTCTAGGAGGCTGAAATTTGAGAGTAATGACCCCCTGCCCACGCTTGACCTTGCCTATTCAAATTCGGCGTTCCCGCGCTCTTAATTATTACCTACGGCCTCGTGAAAATTTGGCGGGTACAAAATTAACTCAGGAATCGCGGAGAGATATTCACCCTTCAGGGTTTCGAATTCAGCTTTCATGCACTGGTGCGTGGAATTTTTAACTGTTTTCCAGCGTTTGAACTATTTTTGCACAGACTAAAGTACAAGGCAGTGAAAATCATTAATGGGCAACCGTTCGATGGGTTGAATTGCACAAAACGCATGATCGCACCGGCTAGTCTGGTGAGCGTTGCTATTTATTTTTGGTTCTTTTAGTTCCAACGATATACATCTCCCAAAATTACACTTCTCCGGTGCGCAGTGTGGAATATTTACTAACTACTGTATTCTTAATATCATGAGTTTTTGCCTTTTTCCAGCTTTTAAAATATTTTTCTCTGTGCTGGTCCCAACTTACTAACATCCTTGATCCTGTGGGTGCTGGCCTAAAATGTACGCTTTAACGTGGCCTATTCTATCCCAAAAAATCCTGAACTTCAGCAGTGCTGCCTTTTCCCGGGGAATGCTTCCCAGCCTTTTTCTGCCGATTTCTTTTCTGGAATTTATCATTGAAAATTTCCGTCCGAAATTGCTTACAATAGAATCATTTATGAATTATTTTTGTGCGTTTTGTATGAATTGTTTAGGTGGAACAGTGGAAGCGTACGCAGGGCCCCGTGCTGCTACACCATGCCATTGTGCACAAGTTTGTACAGAATGCAGATCTGCGAACGAAACTTCTGGAGACAGGCAATGCTCTGCTGGCGCATACCTACGAACGTGACAACATCTTTGCAACTGGCTGCGACAAGGACAAAATGATGGAGTGGGCCAAGAACAACAACGGACAGATCATTAAGGTTGTGCTCATTCCTGAAGCACTGCACGAAGTAGGGCAACCTCTGGCAACACACGGGCCTGATTTACATACTTATTTGAGCTGGCGGACCATCTTTTAGTAAAATCCAGATAGCAACCACTGGGCTGACCCGTGCGATCATGCGTTTTTGCGCTAAACTTGACGCAGTCAGTTTGTTAACAGCATGAATGGTTACTGCTTTACAGTATAACATGTGCGACGTGTGTGCCTGTGTTTTGGTCTTTTCTTGTATGCGGGGAAAAAGAATGTCGCACAGACATGCTTTCGAAATTATGCGTTTTGCATTTGCATAAGACACAAAAACGCAAAAAACAGATAGGTTTTTATCAGGTTGTTCATTCAGTACCTGATAAAAACATAAACAGCAGGTTAATGCGAACGTTGAGCTTGAAATTTTGACACAAAATTGTTGAAATCTGGATTTACATCACTGACACAGAGTCTCAAAGTATTTTCCATACTGCCCTCTGTTAGCCTCATGCATATTTTAGTTTATATGCAGTGACATAGTGGAATACAAACCCCTGTTCATCTACTTAGGCACCACATTCCGATCTTTTGCATGGGCCGGATCAAAACTGATCGCTGGTCGAATCCTGCTCGCGAGCCATACGTGCTATAGGTGGTCTAGGTTGACAATGATGTTAAGGGGGAGAGCTCGACCAGCAAAAGTTAAAGCAGTGATTTGCGCCCCACCGAATGGACCCAGTTCCGGAGGAGTGGTGAGTGGGTACCGGATCGGATCTGGAAAGTTTTGCATACCACAGAATACAGCGCTTCAGAATAAGAAGTCTTTGAAGCAACATCTCAAATTGACGGTCTCAGTTAGTCTTTACCATGTCAGCTGCATCGAATCTGTACCAAATAAATCCCGAACCGGATTTTGCGTAGAAAAATCCCGAACCGGATTGTACGTTTGGACACAAGCCAGGGGCGAAATTTTTGTCGTTTATTGCAGATTCCGACCAAAATCGACACGGGGACGCTAGTGTACATCCCGCTTGTTGGCGAAGGCAAGAACATTCTTGGTTGCATCAACATGAAGGTAATTTGACTTACTTAAACTCCTAAATTCTGTTTGAGTTCCATTCATTGAGTGTGTTTTGAGGTTTTATTGTTCAGCGAATGTGTTTTGAGGTTTTGCTATTTCGAAGAAGTTTGATATTGGTAGATTTCAGAGAACTGTTTT